TGTACATGATTTAAAATAGTTAGAACGAACGCTGGCTTCACCAAACAGCTTGGTCCTTTCGATGTCCCCTTGAAAAAAGTGTGACAGTCTTTCTAAGTGCTCTTAGAATGCCTTATACTGCAAAAACCCGCTCGTTTACCAATTGCATCTGTAATTTTGGGTGAATCACAAGACAGTAACCGCAATATTGTCAGCACTGAGTAGAATACATTGCAGACGACAAGATAACATGATGGATCGGGAGAAGTTAAAAGCCACCGCGCCCCCCCCGAAAAATACCATGGAAGGGAAGACTTCGTAAAATCCTTATAAGAGGCGCGTGCCAAATGGCAAGACAGCGCTCGAGAGCCGATTACACAGATAATCTTGGAAAGGCCACGAGCTGCGACACCGAAGGATTCGCCAAGACTGTGGGTAGAGGCAATTAGCAGATTGGTGCTTGAGGACGTTCTAAACGAAAGCCACTTCCGAGTGTGCTTGTGGATCCATTTTCGGATATAAAAAAAATCCGCTCTGCCGAGAGACCTGACGAATCATCTAATGCTCCATCTCTCAGCTTGCTTTGATCGAGACGCGTTATCTTCACCTTGATTCGAGCACTTTTCAGAGAACGGCGGTTTAAGATCTGGCAGTCGTTTTCAAACGGATTGATTTCCATCTTGGAAGAAAAAAGTATGTGTGTTGGTTGGTTTTCTGTTCCCTTTCCAGATTTGGCAGCATTCTCACAAGGATACGACATGTGAAAAACATGCCAAAGCCTGCACTCAAAATCGAATTAAATGTGATGCAGTTTCTGTTCACAATATTTCTTCGAGAGAACCCAAATGAGAAATGAACGGATTTAATAGACAGATTACGCCCGTCACTTGGCCTATAGTGGTTATAAACTGTCAATAACCATGCATGGCGTCCTCTCACAGCAATGTGTGTTTTTAAGCGTTGTTTATACCAAAACCAAAGCCGATTTTCGGTATAGCACTCAGCACATCAGTAGTATACTCTGCAGGCTGCCAGTTTCATTGTTGGTGAATGACATTTATGACCCCCTTTGCTATGGGAGATACTCATGTTTGTTGGTGCTTGATATGGGTCACGTGACTTACTGGGCGCAATCGGTCTACTGCGATATGCCTAATTCGGCTGAACTGTTCGTTTGAATCTTTATTGCAGGAAACAGTCGTTGTCTACTTCTCCGGAGAGCCGTTAGAATATTAGTTTCCCTTTGCCTTTCCCTCTGTGGTAGTTCCAAAATTTTGTTCTGTTTTATTCTTGTATCGTTGCATCGTGTTTAAATACTTAAAGGGATTACAATGAAATCATATCACATAAAAATCACATTGTGACCTCATTTCTCTGTCACATCACTCCTTAATCCCTACTTGTCCAATGTAGTAATGTTGATGTAGTTGTATTTAATCGGGATTTCAAACTGATCATATGCAAAGTTCTACTTAACTTTGCTTATAGCTGAGAAAGAACCACCTTGTCCTGACACAGTGAGTGTCAGATCATTCGTGGTTGATGACATTCAAAGGAGAAAGACATCCATCCATCCACTGCAGTTCTGGTGCTTGTAGCTGGCATCATCACTCTGGATGGAAGCTCTCCCGTTGAGGAAGACCATCTGCCAAAGATTCACAAGACGAACCACCGTCAACGATGCGTCACTGCTTCTGTTACCCGCTCCCGTTCGAAATACATGCAGTTGCGTTCCCGGTGCATGCTCTACCATGCCCTGCCGTCCATCCGTCCATGCACCACCACTGCCGGGCCGGACAGTCTAATGAAATTATTCAAGCTCATCTGGCAAGGGAAAGGGGGGGGTTGGGGTGGTGGTTCCGGCTACACCGAGGCAGAGTGCATGCACGTCGACCCTGGAATTAACCTGTGATTGCATTACGGAGGCATCCTGCCTCAATTTGTATCGAACAGTGCGATGCACAAGCCCGGGCTGTGTGTTTACCGGTATCGGGGAAAAATGCATCTTATCCGAGAGATTCCTTCTCACGAGAGGAGGGTGATGTCTTTCCAGACCTTTGGATGACCCGAGACAAGGGTTGATCTATCGAGATGTTTGCCTCGGTGTGTAATGTACACGTAAGCCTCCCTTATGAGAGAACGGGGGGGTGTTAAAAGAGCATGGCAGAAACGAGGTGATTGTCATCCTTTGGCCTGCAGTGACAATGTTTGGCAGTTTGAGAACGCCGGAAATATGAATAGTAGAGCTGACACTGAGTGTTTTGTGCCCATGCTCATGCACGCTATCTTGACCGTTACCATTTCCCCTTTTTGATAGCCTGTCGACAACTGTCTCGCACATTAAAAAGCTCTGACATCTGCGACAAGCTTTACCAACCGCTGCACTGTTGCCTAAAGAGTATGGTAGTGAACAGTTCATTGGACTTAGAATGCGTTCGATGAAAGGATTTCGTCGAAACCTAGTTTATTGTACTTCCTGGTCGAATATGGTCTTGGAGGAGCGGTTTCTTCCCGCATCTCCTTTCCAGCCACATAAAATAAATCCCCTGCCACGAGAGTATCCGCTTTGTACATCAGAATTATTTCTTGCACGCATTTTGATTATAGTCGGAAGAACAAACTTCGCCCAATGATACGCAGGTCGCTGCATCATTAAGTATAATTATGCAAGACATCCGCATCTTCACCTCCAGACTGTGACGAATCAGCGGTCATCTACCTGAAACGCGATACAATCAGCAGACACTTATCAACCAATCTGCAGTCAGAGTCTCTTTCTTTTCTTCCCAACAGCTCTAATTGGCAGACGAATCTTTCCTTACACGAAAACGTTATTAGACTATCGTTCGGAATGGGCCGCGGTGAAGCTACGGCGCTCCGTTAATGATCTGCCCCTCCCTGGAAATTATCTTCATGGAGTTAATACATTACCTCATTTACTACTTAATATTAGTATTTAAGTTACTGCGGCCTTTTGTCCATGAAGTAAAGGATTGAAAAAGTATGTAACTGCTTATTTATAGACACAGCATATTGTTCAACTGTAGCGCCATTTCAAAGGGACCCCGATTTCTACATTTTATCATTAATGTAGCTTTTATGAAATATTTTGAAGCTTGCCAAAATCCAAACATAATTTCTGTGATTGACTCTAAATTTTTTGTACAGTACGACTGTCAAATCTTGACATAGGCCTAAGTCTTAGTAATTAAAGATTCCGCTAGCGGTTTCTGAATTTCGCCTCAACAATTAATTCTGAAAAAAACAAACATTTATTTTGCAACAAAGAATCGTTGGGAGATTCTTGGGCGTTTTTAGGAAAGGTTACACTGAGAGTCCATTACTTTCCATTTGGATAGTACCGCAGCTGCGTGTTCCTGGCCAAGGTGCTACCGACAGAATGAATAATAAGGCCGCATATATCAGGGCACGGCTTCTCTAAAGAAAAAAAAAATCGAAAATTCAAGTCCCTTAAGTGGTTTATGGTAAGCATGAGTGTCTTAGCTGAATCCAGGTACCAATAATTCATCGCAGAGCTACAAGTAATCTAGATTTCTTAGGTGGCGTTGCATTGATTTACCATTCCGCTTTGTAGGTTTGTCCAACTCCAGAGAGTGAGCCTTGGCTTCTGCTGGGATGGTTAATGACCGTTTCCTTTCCCTTAATCACTTCCCCCGGATCGCATGATGAGGTACAGTTAAGTGACAACTTGACCAGGGCCGACAGGTCACGGTCCGGCTGTGTTGCGTTGCAACAGACCCCTCGTTGTGAGCCGTTCTGTTCCCGCATCAGACGGCCGAGTAAGGTGGGCCAGTCTGGGGACAAATTACGCTGGCGGTCTTCGCTCGCTCCAACCACCGCCCAATCGAAGCGGGGTTTCCGCTCCCAAGCTGGTTAAACAATCAGCGAAACATTTCGCCTGTTTAATCCGCGTTAGTGATGCACGCATAGTCTGTCCAAACAGTTGGCTTGTAGATCGCTGCCCCGGCCAACCCGCGCACGCCGCAATGGCACGCCATACCTACCGGCCCTCGGCCCCGCAGTGGAATGGGATTCGATCGGCAATGGATGGGCGAGCCGACCGCCGATCGACTGGAAGTACTTGAAGTTTTTTTTTTTTTGAGATTATCTCTCTTGTCTTGTCGTGCGCTGAGTGCTTCCGCTTGAGACTGCTTGTTGGACATGCCCGTTCGATTTACCAGACTAGATAGTAGCAGGCTTTTGTTTTCATACCGACGATCAGGATGTATGACGATGAACTTTAACCTCGCATAATGTTACACCCAGGGCAAGATTAACTACATGCATTTACCCACATGGAGGTAGGAAACCCGTAAGCCCTATGCGCCAGCGTTACCCGGGCCAATTCCACTCATGGGTGCCAAAACCAACTGTTCAGTTATGAATAAAGCATGCATTCAGGGCACACCTGCTATTTTTTGTCGGCCCTCAATTCATTTTTTTTGGGGGGGGGTTGTGGGTCTTTGGTACTATACGGGATAGCACCCCGCCAACGAATGTTGGAATCGTTATCTAATAAAACCTCCGTATAGGCAGACCTTGTAAGCGAGGTATTCGGTACAAATTGAACATCCTATTCAAGACGTGCATTCATTATTGAGGGCGCTGTACATAATCAAAAGGGTTGATTGATGGATTGGAGAAGCAGCTTTGTTTTGATACTGATGTGTATGTCTGTCAGGGTGCTATAAAGTATACCAAAGTGACTAGGCTTATACCACAGTTGACCCTCCAAAATGAACTTAGTTTTCCCCAACCTTTGCTTCTTTGTCTTTTCCTTGTCCAAGAATAAAAATAAGAGTTAAAAACAGCCAGCGTTATTTTGGTAGCATTCAGGTTTCATCCATTAGTATTACACGTTGATAAGACAGAACTATACATGTACAAAAGTACATGGAAATTAGATGGGTACCGGACTTCGACGAGTCTTGTGCATATCGGTCTGTTTCCAAACGAGAAGAATTTGACATGTTGAAATTCTAATCCTGTTCTTTCTCCAGGTGCCTTTTTGCTGCCCTACGCAATAGCCCTTCTGATCGCCGGGATACCGGTCTTCTTCTTCGAGGTGGCCATTGGCCAGTTTCTCAGCCTTGGTGGGCTGAGCATATGGAAGATATGCCCACTCTTCAAAGGTAAGCTTGACTTTGTATAAACTGTCCAAAGTTTCACTGTGTTGAGTTGGTACGCTGCATTCAAGATGTTGGAGTGAACGCAAAGGGACATGCAATACACTTTAATATGTTTACATTAATAGACCATTTTCAGTGTTCATTTTCTCATTTCCCGGACATTCTGGTGCTTTCGGGGGTTTTTGTATAAGGCAAAATGTGTACATTCATTGAAAAAAGTATTTAAAAAATTATATCATATCAGGAACAAGATTTGTTGGAATTTGGAATATTTTGGTGTCGTTGTGTTCGTTTCTTTGGTTCTTTTTTGTTTCAAAGAATAGGGGCCCACGGACTCGTCTTGAACTTTGATTACCGGAATATTATAGTAGAGTTACGTAGGCTTTTTTCGGTACTTTGATTGTCCCGAAATGATGCTTTGCAGACCAGAATTTTACCCTCTCAACAAACGCTGGCCATCGATCAATCTGCCAGTGCAACGCCCAACAGCTAATAAATCTACTTGAGGAAGGTGCACAAGATTCATGATATGAACTTCACCGTCGGAAGGTTAGAACATTGAAAGTGACATTTCCCCCCGGAAAGTACATCCAATTTTGACCCAGAGGTCAAGTTGATATGAACTTCACGTGAAGTTACCAATTTCAGAAAATGGGGTTGATGTTATGGTCCAGAAAACGCAGATTGTTTACGCGTGAATTACGACCGGTTTGGGCAGAGGCTAGCAATATCCGAAGCCACGGGGGTATTGAATAGTCACGCAGTCACGCCGCTGCGCGACACATGTTCGCAACATGAATTGAATTGAAATTGCCACGGTGTACTGTTTGCGCTCCAGTTGTTAAGCACTTGGAAGTTGCCCAGTTTTTACCACATCGTGCTCCGGCCAAAGTAACAGCTTCCTTGCAAACACACCGACTGAATGCATGCAACAACTGCTTGCTGTCAAAGGCAGCACAAGTAAATTGCCCGTAATTGGCGCGTACATGGACGGGGCAAGTGCACATTTTTCGGGCGCTGTGAATGTCCTGCGCGCTATGTTCCTTTACAAAACGTTCCAGCGTCGATCCCTCGCAGTTCGCCGCATTCTAGGGTACAGGGGTAGCAGCGAAGCGAGAGACGAATTTCCAAATCACATCAGGGCTGGCGGATTCCATCCCCCCAGAAATCCAAAGCACAGGGTTCGTTAAACCTTTTTTTCCCACTGTGAACATGTTCCGTGGCACAAAGCCATGAATACTTGAGAGTCCTGCTAGTGATTCTGTGACATCAGGTTCATTTAAAGAGCTCGTTTTTATCAGCTGAATGATAAACCAATCGCTAAGTTGCGCTTTATAATGCCATCGTGATAAGATAACTTCAATGAAAATAATGAATGTCAAAAGCGCTTGAACTGAGCGTGAAACCATTGTGCGAACACTTTCACAACGAAACATACGTACAAATTATGTTTTTCAAAGATCAGTATACTCACATAATTATGCACTTCAAAAGGGCCGAGAAGGGTCGATTAAAAATGATGCGCATATTTTAATGGGAAATAAGGATAAAATGACCTTATTATTTCTTGGCTAATAAGGTTAAAATTTGACAAACATTGGGCAATTCTGAACCGAAGAGGGAAGTTTAGACTTTCGTCTATTAACATGAATTATTAATGTTTCCGTAGAGCATTACACTTTCAGTATAAACTCCCGGGTCAGATTGACCAAGAATTGGGTCTCTTTCGGCGTGACCCTTTTCTGGGTCAAAATATGATTCCCTTTTGGGTCATATTTGACCCTTTCTGGGTCATAATTTGACCCGGCAAAGGGTCATGCCGAATGGGACCCAATTCTGGGTCAATCTGACCCGGAAGTTTTTAGAGAGTACAACATAAGAATTATGTTAACTGTTTAACTTGGTTAATTGTAGTGTAACTGTACATTACAGTAGAAATAATTTTGAAATAGTGCCATAATTGTAACATGCCTCTAGGCCTATATTGTTTAAAGTTACCACTGCACGGTTATCCACCCAAGTTTGCATTTTCCGTTTCGTGTGTATTTAATCAAGTGCAACTCTTGCTAGTAATAATCTCTTCGATGTAATTTCACTTTCTTAAAATTAGATTAAAAAAAAACAAAGAAACAAGTGGCTCCTCTTTTCTTGCTCTTTATAAAACTGAACGATGTTCAGGTTTGCAAAATGCCTCGTGTGGTCCAATCTATGTGAATGGGAATGGCACTCGGAGAGCTCACTGATCTCACCGGGCGGCGTGGCAGCTGTCTTTGACAGCTTAATGCAATTATTGCTGGCTAGGTTAGATTGTATCATTCAATATTCTTATCTGCAGCATGTTCAGGAAAAATGAAGGAATCAGGATGTGGCCAGTATTGTTAATTTGTAATGGTATTATTCCATTGTTATGCGGACCGTCTTGGAGCAGATTTATTGCGAGACCTGTGCATATTAAATCATATTTTCAGGACGTTTATGACCAATTACAAGCTGAACGAAAGTGCAGACCCGTGGTGCAGCTATTAAAGAAGCCTGCTTTAGTGATTAGAAAAATAGTCCAGTCAGAAAATGTTTTAAATATTAATCAATTAATGCAGAACAATTTTGAGAAATTTGTGCCCAGTAATCTCATTCTTTTCAGAGTTAAATGGAATTTGAAGTTGATCGCATAAAATAAGGCTGTTTCACTATAAAGGTATAGGAGTGTTTATTCGTTGGTAGCTTACTATTGAAATGTAAAAACACCTGTAAATGTAGTTTTCGTCAAATCTTGAAAACAAAAGATTTCTGTTGCTTAATTGGGTTTTTGGTATACCTTTAACGTTGCAAAACACCCCAAACCAGGACCGTCTTTAATTCTGTAATAATTACTTACTTTTATAGGCACCCTAAACATGGGAATATAAATACCTCTACGGATACTGTTTATGTCTTTTGAAGCATTGGCACAATTGACATGAATACATTTGTGTTGTAATTCATTATTGTGATTCCCCTTTGCGATATTGTGATACCTTTTAAATTAAATAGAATGTTTCCAACAGTTTGAGGGTGACCTCCTACTAAGTTTGAGGTATTCTGAGCCGATGAATTCTACAAATGCACGTTGGCTCAGTTCGTTCTCACCATGGGTGGTTCGGGCGGGAAAGCCAACTCCCTACCCTGGAAATGTTGGTCTGCACACGGACTTCTTATTGGTTCGTCGTTGGCAAAAAGAGGATCCCTCGGTGCTGCCTGAAGGTTATAAGCGGATTGCATTGGACCCTCCCGGCCAGGCTTGTGTTGCGGTAGACCGCCAAAGTTCCAAACCAGCGGAGTTTATTGAACTTTGCTACATGGTGAATGCAGCTCTTGTGAGCTACCTTTTCTCGGTTATTCAGGGGTGCGTCCACAATACGCTAAAAGTGTGAAGTTTGCCAAAGGTCGCAACATTTTGTGCCATGTTGGACTGACTGTGTATAGGAACGCTTGCAACGATGGCAAACTATCGTCCTTGGCTGTTAACCAATGTTTCCCATGTGCCAATGTTCCAAATTTCCAATGTTGTAACTGCGGTGTTTTCAAATTGTACCGTGCAGAAGATAAGAAGCAATTAGTGCGCAAAACGACTCTGTATATGTGAGAATTTTTCTGGATTTCTAGACGCCAGATATTCATGAACGTTAACGGCAAAAGCGTATTCAGTAACTACATGTATTGAAGCAAATATATTTATACCAACTCTAAAATATTCGCATATTTTCGGAATAGGACAGGATGAAACCTAGATTGGTCATGTGACAGTGATTACCACGTGCCTCAATTGTCGAAATCAATAGGTCTGGATATCAAACTACGAAAAAGGCCTCTGTCTAATCTTTTCGTTGGCGTACTGGTGTTATATGAATCGCTTTTGTGCCTACGCCGTTCGACAGTGTTGGTTTCGGGCGGCGAAATACACACGCGTGTCCGAAAACGACTTCAGCCTTTAGCCAATGTCTTTCACAGTCGCAAGTGTTATTGCAAGCCACAGCCAAAAGCTGTAAGACGTAGCCCATACACCAGAGAGCCATGCAGAACACTGCGTCTGCTAGAAATTAGCTCATGTTATGCTTAGTTGGAGGTCATAACGATGGTACGGTTTACTTGCAGGCGTTGGCTACGCGGGGCTCGTCATGTCCTTCTGGCTCAATGTCTGGTACGTGATGCCTATGGCGTGGGCCTTGCTGTACCTCGTCAACTCGTTCACCACCAGCTTGCCCTGGGAGGACTGCGACAACACGTGGAACTCAGACAACTGCGTGGCCAACTACTCCGTGTCCGACAACGTCTCCACCACTCCGACCGATGAGTTCTGGAAGTGAGTAGTCTTCAAAACCAGACGTCGTTAGATGTTTGGTTCTTTCAGCTGGTTTTCATTTTTGGTGTTGCCGTAAAGGTGATCTCCTGTTTCCTTCGACTGGTTTGGACTGGTTCCTAGTGAAACCAGTGGAGCAGGCAGATGATAATAAGTTTTTTCAGTACCATTTGGACACCAGTCGATTCTAGTTTAAAAACAGCTGAGACCAGTTTGATAACTTATCTGATTGCAACTGGAATTTTCACGTGGGTTACTAGGGTTCATTGTTGATCTCTCACTGACAACTTAAGAATTTTTAAACGCCTTTATAAATAAATCTGCAGCTAGTGCTATCCATGAAAACTATTTTTACCTTTCAGCCACGTTATTAGATGTAATTTGGTGTCTTCTTATGCTGAAGGGAATTTCCATATTCATAAGCAAAACTATAATGACATTTCGGCAGAATATGACACTTTTCAGAGGAGTAATTCGAGAACATTCATAGTTTTTAATACGCGCACGACTGTGGGCCTCATAAGTCGACTGATTTTGTAGTCGACTGAGTTGCCGTAACACGAAATGTCTTGTTCTCGCATGGCCTTCACGGCTTCAAACTGAAGTATGAACGAATCCAGTGACCATGGTAACGCCATCTCAGGTCATTTGCAGCGGCCCCCTTTAATGGCGGTAAGTACTGTTATGGCTATGGCACGGAGCCGCTGTTCCGTGACAGTCGCTTCATACGAAAACCAACAAAGTGCCTACCACCATTGAAGGGGACCAGCGGGGATAAATGTTAGTGGACTCAATCACACCTTCCAACGTAGCTTCACGATTACACCACTGCAGTGTGGCCCTGTCAGCCCAAAGCAGCTCCACGAACTCCAATCTCTATTTTTCCCCGTCCAAATTTAATCTTTCAGCCTGTACGTGCTGGAAAAGACCGAAAAGATCGAGGAATCAGGAAGCATTCGCTGGCAACTGGCGTTGACACTGCTGGTGGTATGGATCACTTGCTACTTCTGTATCTGGAAGGGTGTCAAGTGGACGGGCAAGGTAAATTGGTCACCGATGGGAGAGGACGGAATGGGTGTAGGCCGCTAACTTAGCTTAGTCTAGATCTGATGAACCACACAAGATGCACCAAATTTAGGAAAAGTAAATTCGGTCCATATTGCATTTTTAAAAATAAATATGAGCATTAAAACTAAACCTTTTAAAAGACTTTCGTGAGTCCTCATTTCCGCTTATGCAACTATTGTGGATCCGCGTTGGTGCGCGGACATGAGCTAGCCTGACACAACAGCAATTAACAACTTGAGCATTTTATAGTTTGAGCACAAAAAGGACAAGGTTATATCAGGCCTTTTTCTATAACCGCTGTAGTTTTAATCTTGCTGAAAATGCGATCAAAAGTACAGGCCTAGGCCTATATATATACGTGCGGCTCTTACAAAGAAATGTACCAAAACTATTGACATAATGCGCGTTGGATGCACACAATTTTGTATACACATTTCCGGAAGTGCTCACAGTGCCTTAGAAAATGCAATGGAAATACAGTGACCGATATCGTGTGATTTATTGGCGAATATAATTTGTAACACAAGCTGTCAAGATAATATCGGACTATGCCGGCGGTCAAACAAGGAATTTAAGTCGCTGGAGTTGTTCTGCTCCTTCGATTAAGACAAATCTGTAATAGATAGTCTTGTTTATGTGGCAAACACTGGCAGACGGCCTTTGCGCGAACAAGGACGGCAGTGTCCGGACAATTTAAGCAGGAATTACACCCAGAGGCGGTTGTTTCCGAATTCCTCCAGGTAATTTCTGAAAATTCTGACCTCTGTTATCCCTTCAAAATTGACCACTTAGCTTTGCCAAAACGAGAAGTTCTCCGGACAGCGTGCGAGGAATTCCCTTTCACCGAAAAAACCCTTAGGCTCATCAGGCTATGACTTTGTCGGTTTTTCGCACTTCTGCGGGATCGGCAGGAAAGGTTATGATCCTCGCGACCCACAGGGCAATTAGTTTGACCCGTGTCACGGCTGTGTTTACGCTCTCCCCAAACAGATTGCCAGCACTAATGGCCCCTGGTACCATTACTATCTGGCGGCGTTGATCGATCTGCGCCGACTAGTCAATTGCCAATGCATAGTCAGTATTATGGGAGCTTTACAAACCTGGAAAAAAAATCCGGATGTTTTTCAGTATCACTTCCTTATGTTGTTGGCGTTTATTTTGTGACAGCTTGAGCTTTTGCCACTTTTTCAGCTATATTCAATTTTTAGGAGTCCAAATTAAGTTTACGTCCCTCATGGGCCTCCATAACATTGCGCTAGCGACTGACGAGTGACACAACAAACCACTTGTTGTCGACAGAGCCAGTGGTCTAACTAATGTAGCCATGATGTGTCTTGAAAAAAATGGCGAAATCTGATATAAGATTTTTAAAAACTGCGGCACATTAATGCTGAGAACTCGTGCTGTGATTTGGTTTCAGTCTGGATCTTCATCGTACTACCACGAGCATCGGCAAACTCATAGTATGTAGGCAAAATAAAAAACGAAAAACGAAGAGTGGAGATGAAAGGAAGGGGGATTCAGTACGCTCGTTGTGCGTGACGGTCCTTCGTTTCATGTGGTACCCACCATTTAAAATGGTCTAGCGACGCCCGTACGTACCACCATGACATCACTCAGTTCATGGCAGCACTTTTCATTAGTTTCAGCTTAGTTATGTCATGGAAGAATAAGAACACAAGTTCAGCATAACTTTCACCAAGAAGTCCTAGTGATTGCCTGTGTCCCAAACGTCTTGGTTGCCACTTGCAGCAGCCGTGGGTAATCGTAAATGGAAAGTGGTAGCGACTACCAGCCATGGGCTTGCACGGATACATTTGCTTCTGTTGGAAGTTGCCACGTCATTAATTCGAAGGCAGCCGTTATTAGAGCTCATTTGCTTCTGAGTGTACTAATTTTTTTGTATCCTTTGCTTCTCACAATAGGTTGTGTACTTCACCTCGATGTACCCTTACGTCATGCTCATTGTCTTGTTCTTCAGGGGCGTAACGTTAGAGGGTGCCGTGGACGGAATAATCTACTACCTTAAACCCAACTTCGCACGGCTGGGAGATTCGGAGGTATATCCCAATCTGCGGCATGAAAGACGTTTGCTACTCGTAAAATGTTTACTTCGCCTTGTGCCTGGGAGAAGGGCATTTGAACATTTTTTTTCACACCACTATACACTATCAGAGGTGGCTTGATATCACGCCCTTTCTGACAGACAACAGGGAACTTGGAGTACAGAGTTGAGGTGGGGGGTGTAGAATGCGGCATTGTGTGCAGGGTCCTTGTTGGAGTTGACCGATTTTTAAAACTTTTACCTTTATTCCTTCATTGGCACAAATTTCCCCGCTTCCGGGCGTAATCTCTTTTTTTCTGTCTGCACCTCACTCTTTCGCGCTTCCTTTCTCAGGGACACGAATTTTCAAAGAAGCGGGCGAGTCTGAGCGTATTATAGAATTGTGGATAAATCTGGAGTGCAATTTTAGACTTTGTAAACTCCCGGAGAACGGCCGGCGCTGTGTATAAATGCTTCATTGATGCCCCATGTGGGACTGACGAAATTCAATCAGCCAAAGCCACTTAACCGCTCCGACACAAGGAGATCTACTCAACCGCATTGACGGCTCGCCCTGGTGAAAGGCTCGGCACGGCCGGCCGTTCACATTGCGCGACCTCGAGGAAGAAACGGGATGGATGGAATCCTTCTCACACCCATCGATTTGCGGCGACGAGCTGGACTGATTCGTAAGCTCGTGGCATCACATCCTGGGTTTACCCACCGTGATAAATATGTGTTCTGAACACTACATCCGAGAGTGCGCACGAGCCGTTTTGTTAAGATGTTCCGCCCCCTCCCCACGAACATCCAGCGCGCGTGCATTTATAACATTCCAAAATTTCCCACTGCATGAATGCAAACCCATGACACGTATACACTAAAGGCATTTCAGGCGTCCTTGCATCCCTTGTACGCGGGAAATCCTCAGGTGCACAGATAAGCAATTTGAAATTTTGTCTAGTTACTGAGCCGGCTGGAACCAAAATGACGGTAACGATAAACTCCTGTTCTTATGCGACTATGTCGGCTCGGACGCTCATTTTGAATTACTATACCATAAGAACCAAAGGTCGAAGATTGCTCAAAAAGTGTCGGCTTTGGACCACAAATAATAGAGAGCGAACAACGTAATAGTGATGGGGTATCTGTTTACATGTTGTTAATTCAAATGATATGTAGAAGTACTTACTTCCATTTTTTTTAAATAGTTTTGAAGTGATATAACGAATGTTGTTAATGAGTGTCCCCATATACACACATTTCATACGTTCACCTGTAACTGCTAAGAATCTGTTGGTTTACTTGCTCTTCCAAGGTTTGGTTGGATGCCGTGACTCAGATATTCTTCTCCTACGGCACGGGGCTTGGGAGCCTGATAGCTCTCGGCAGCTACAATACGTTCAAAAACAACGTCTACAAGTAAGTCAATCTAGCAGTAGGATTCGTGAATATTGAAATGTGATATTTGTCAAGATTTGCGAGTGTACCATTCAGGTAAACTCCAAATTTGACCAGCGGTGTATTAAAAGTGTAAAGGCGTAGGGTGATCGGATTGATTTTGGTGGACGATTAGGAAGCAGTATTAAAACCAGGCGTGATTTGACTTTTGGCGGTGGCTTAATTTCCTTTCAACTGCAAGGGTTGTTCAACTCAGAAATCGCCGTTTGTGCTTATCACAGGTTCCAACAACAAAAAAAATCGTCAAGACAGCGGTGGGCCAGTTCGTGTAGTGGGATAAGAGAGAAAGATTGGACAGGTTGAAAGAAGGTTTCTTGCTTTTGCGTTTGCTTTTGTTTATAGATTATTCCAACATACCACAATTATTTTTTGGCACTGTCAACCACTTTCTGTCAAAGATATTTTCAACGCAGCTTCGTCCGAAGACACTTCCCACTGCGTGAAACACCTAGTCAAGCTGGACTCGTTCTGCGGATTCAAAAAGTCCTTCTCAAACGGGATGAAATTTTCTTGCCATGTTTACTTCCGTGTTTCATTGGTCGGCAGGGATGCCCTGATCGTGTCGTGCATCAACAGTGGAACCAGCTTCTTCGCGGGTTTTGTCATCTTTTCCACGCTGGGTCACATGGCACACGTGCAGCACGTCGACGTGGCTAATGTCACGGCGTCGGGTAAGAGGGCGGTTGGGATGATGGGAACCTCTGGAACATTTGAAGGATAGGTCTGCTTGTGGGTACATAATCAACCACTCATTGTACCTCACTCGAAGCAATCACTGGACTGATTGCCACTCACTCCAACGTCATTTATTATTCTCTCACACTGGGACTTGGTGTGTTGCGTGCGAATTAGCTAGTCTGGACCACAAACCTTTTTGAAAAATCGAGTTTTTGTGAGGCGTATCATAAACCTTTGGCCAAAATCGATGCAATGTCTGGGGTGATAGTATGGCTTTATAAGGTCTTTATTATTTTCCACTCACTCCTTTGAACTTTGAATGTTGGTTGATGTTGCTTACAATCCCCAGGTCCGGGCCTTGCTTTCCGAACCTACCCAGCAGCCCTTGCGCAGCTGCCCATTTCCCCTCTGTGGTCCTGCTTTTTCTTCTCGATGATTTTCATGGTCGGTCTGGACAGCCAGGTAGGAAACCATGTTTTTTCCTTAGGATAGTGACTTCATGTTCTCCCTTATTTTAACAGTGGATTAAAGTTGATAACCGTGGGCCCCATTTTTCCGAGGACCACCGGCTTAAACTTGTCTGTCTTTGAACGGAGGGGGAATTTGGTGGACAAACTTCATACGGGCAGGGAAGGCCTTCTTTTAAAATGCTAACCTGAAAAAATAAATACGGCTACCTCGACTATACGGCCAATGGAAGAAGCCATCTAACGGCCTCAGTGCATTTAGACACGTGTGTTATATCCTGCCGTAGCTATGGCATTCGGATACGACCATACTGACGCCATGAACAAGGACACAGTATTTTATTCCAGCTGATTCAAACGAAAGAGTTTCTCCCCTTGAAACTGATGTGCCACTTGAAACCCAAATAGACTACTTATTATAATTGAGACGACAAAAGTAAATTTCACATGACAACAAACATGAACTCTTAATCATCAAAGCAAACCGAAGAGCGCCCTCGTGCTTTGGCCGCGGTACTTCAATATGATACGATATCTTCTGTTTTACACATGATTACCGAATAAAAAAAGGCTTTAAACACCCTTAAATTATTCAAAGAAATGGTGTTTGTGGTGATACGGTACGTCGGCAGCGTGAAAAAGGGCCGATCCGCAGCGACAGTTGATATTTTGGATGTATCTCAAATGGCCACGAAAGGTTTCTCGTGCACTGCAACATTTTAAGAGGAGCCGCCTTTATTGGGAAAAATCCGCAAAAAGAGAACTCGCAGTACGTCGCTGATCTAATTCGTTGTAATTATGGCCAACAGTTTTGTACCATGGAAGGGTTCTTCACGGCAGCCATGGACGAGTGGCCGAAGTATCTCCGCCGGTACAAAGAGATCTTCATCGGTATCACCTGTGTCATCTCCTATTTCATCGGTCTCAGCATGGTGACACAAGTGAGTCCACCCGTTTTTTCCCATTCCTTCCCCCCAAAAAAATCTTGGCGACGCCCAAGTTACAAACCAGTCATAAACCACGACCAGATATAAAACGATTCCAACCATGACCATTTTCCCTCTTATAGGGAGGCATCTTCGTCTTTGAAATCTTCAACAACTATGCCGCCAGCGGGATAAGTCTGTTATTTCTCATGTTCTTTCAAACCACAGCAGTCAGCTGGTTCTATGGTAGGGTTCGTTTCTTGTCATCTCGTAGACGTATTGTTGTAAAAAGTTTACCGAAGTGATGCATGACCGTGGATAGGGTCGGCCTTTTACAGTAAATTGTAATTACATGTGCATTTGAACACTGTGGATTTGGCGATGATCCTCCCGAGATCCTCCTGAGAACTCATGCACACATGAAGTGTATCCGAAAGGCTTGGATCTTTGGAGAGTGACGAGTGACATTAGTCAAGTTTATTTTATATGTCTCGAGCATGGACAAATGTCTCGAGGTAGCTTCATTTATTACACTTTCCCAATGCTTGGCAGAATGGATTACAATTTGCATTATATAAACTTTCTATATGTACAGGATTTCATCGTGCAATCTGAACACAGTAGGGAACCTTTAAATTATTTAACTTGGCACCAAGATCAGAACAAGATACATGTACTTTGCATATAGTCTGATTCCGTTTCCTTTACTGGTTCTTGCTTCTTTCGCGGCACGGCGCAGGCGTGGATCGTTTCTATCGTAACATCGAGCAAATGATCGGCTACAAGCCGTTCATCTGGTGGAAGATCTGCTGGGTTGGTCTGGTTCCCTTGCTTTGTTTCGTAAGTATATGGAAAACCAGTAATTAATGTTGTGCTACTTGGGGTGTACGTTGGAACGTCACATTACGAAGTATTTTCGTTCTGGGGAAATTATGCATGAAAAGAGCATGTTATAACTTCTACACAGATTGATACAAGCACTAAGAGACCAGAAGAGTTTTTTTCTGTGGGTTTTTGTATGAATGCCGTCAACCAACGAGATTTTATAAAGGCTGTAATTTATATTTAAAAAAAATTATAATTGGAAAAAACAGACGTTCATTCCACTGGCAATGTTCATTTGCATAAGACTTCCTGACGATTTCTCCCCACACCTTGAATCTGTGCATGTCCATCCAGGGCGTCTTCATATTCAACCTCATTCAGTTCAAACCACTCACGCTAGACAACTACGAATACCCACCATGGGCCATTGCTTTCGGTATTCTACTAGCTCTCAGCTCCATGCTATGCATACCTGGCTATATGTTATATCTGCTGGTCGTCACACCAGGCTCTATCAGAGAGGTAAGCTGTGATTAAACCTGAGGCTGTGTCTTATACTTGCCTGCAGCTTGAAAGTACATTATGGCTCTGTGACACGGCTGCAGCCACGACCATAGGCGTGTTTGTAATTGGACACACCCACGTAATTCAGAAAAGGCCCGGCTCTTCATGCATGAGCACAGGTCTTTGCAGTCCCCTCAGCAGTAAAAACACAAGAATTTGGCGGTAGGGAGGGCAAATATGCCCTTTATAGAGTACCTGTGAAGGAATTCCGTACAGGTGGCTTGTGGATATGTACATTAAAGAGCTCGGGTTCCATAGTCACTGATTTCCGTAGAGACGGCGATTGCTGTTCATACGTTGGTTGCCCCATCACGCGTAATGCCAGCAGCGGCTGCCATATTGGTTTACTCGAAAAGAGAGTAAGACCAGTTTCAAACGTCGTCCTTATGTCGTGTCGAATACAATTCATGTCCATTTTTGTATCCGGAACTGCATAAGTACGACGTTTGAAACCAATTAGGCTCAGCAAATTGATTTCGGCATGGTAGAGGATTTTTGCTCGACAGGGTCTGCCGTGCTTATGTCATGAAGTGCAGCAAAAGCACAGTGTAGTTTAAAACGCGCTTATGCCGTGCGATTACATTTCTATTCAAAGTTGGTCCTAAACTTCGTTTATTATTAGGAATGCGCATGTTCACAACGTAAAGTAGAGTTTAATTCGCAACTCATCGACAAACAAACACATCAAGAAATTACGGCGACTAAAATGGCAAATTCGCCAAACGCGAATTAAAGTAGGACCTACTGGCTTAAGTTAAACCCATTTCTTTGTGACTCAGGTTGAAAGATTGTAAAATATCACGTGTCGAGTTGTGCTGGTCCGCCATGTTGGATTTTAATGATTTGTTTAAGTTCGACTGGGCTTTTTAAATTAAGTTCGACGTTTGAAACCACTGCCGTGCTTGCGCCGTGCTCATTTCAGTATTCGACACGACATAAGCACGACGTTTGAAATGGGCATAAGAAGCTTTACATGTACAATATTTGTGTCAACATGTAGTAAGACTGATGTCCAGCGTTTGTATTTTCCCCAGGTATAGGTGTTTTCCTCCGAATAATTTTATTATTTTGACCTTCAGCATACGAGTATAGTCATATAGGCCTACCCCCCCCAGTAGTTCTTCTTTCAGCTGTTGTTGTTCTTATCACTTGCTTTCACCTATCGGACAAGGAAACATTTTTGAAAATGTCCATCAAAGTTGTAGGGACAAGACAAATTGCTTTGTCGTAACTAGGACTTTGTTATAAAGGGAGTGGAAATACACAGGAAACAGTAAGAAAAAACCCCACAAAATTTACTCGGTAATAACAGTATTAATAGTGCTTTACATCGAGAGGCCGATGCGCTAGGTCATTAGCATTAGAGTATTAGGGTTTTTTTCATGTACACGAGCAAGCAATGTGTTATATCCAGGGGAACTGTCTAAATTAGTTCGTGCTCCGGCGCTTATTACTGCACGCTTTTTCACGGCTTATCCGGTTCGAAAGTGTGACGTCACTTCAGTTTAAACCACGCCCCCTGCACGTAGAGTTACAAGGAACCGGAAGTTAACGCGCAACCTGCACTCATCCAGTTGGAGCGTATAATTCGTGGTGCGCACGCGTGTCTGACGAAGTCACTTACATGTACGAACCGGATAGTGAGGTTGTTCTAAAACCCCCTTGACCCCCGAAGACCCCCCTCGACCCTCAAAACACAGATTAACGGGTGCCTGAACTCATGGAATGTGTGGTTTCATCAAACAGAGAGCTCTAGGGACTGTGTTACGCATGCACGCCGGTCATGGCTACACGCGTATGCGTGCGCGTTCGTGCATTGTTAATGTCTGAATATGCTGATTACGAATTAGGCCAGTCTGGTCGTGGCCCAAATAAGAATGGTGGCCGTGTGGCGTTCAGGTTTATTGGAAAAATCCCGTGGGATCACAAAATATTAATAAAGCTCGCGCGGGGAAATACGAGTTATTGGAAGCCACCCCATAAACTTTAAGGGTGCATTCCACCAAATCTGATTTCCGCGCGCGACCTCATTAATATTTTGTTATCCCACGGGATTTTTCCAAAAAGACAGACCATAATCAGAAGGATCAGAGAAATATTTCTATAAATCCCGAATTTGGGACTGATAGTTTCCAGTTCGAGGTATTTTCCCGAATTGCAAGCCTATTTTGGATAGAGGCGGGCGGCTACATTCAGAAATGAGCGCTTAGTTTTACTGATATTTTGGGGGTATCTTCCTCGAAAGGCAAATAAAAAAATTCGTCTTTAGGGCTAACCCCCATGAAATTGAAAGGAAAAGTGTTCTTCTGGCCATAATCTTGAATTTCCAGTGAAAACACGGAGGCCAACCTCTTCCCGAGAGTCAACAGGCGGCGCTATATCGGTCCGATTTTGCACTGTTTTCTATGGGCGCTTATTTGGTGCAGCGGGGGTTTATGTGCGTTTCTGCACCGTTGCGCATGCGTCTTTTTCATAGGAAGGTTGGGGCATTATTATCATAAATGGGGTGAAGGAATTTTTAAGTATAAAATAAAAATAAATTGCTTTCTCCGCCGAGTTGCACCGTGTAGCTCAGTTAGAAGAGCGCTGGACTTATAAGTGACAAGGCGCGGCGGATTGGAGTCTACGTGAATGCAGCTTTGACTTTTATCGGAGGGGGATTAGTATGGGCGGCCATCGGAGCAAAAAAGACAGCACGAAAAATAAACCAAAATTAGGTTTTAAAAATAAACAAAATAAAATAAAGAAAGAAATTAAAAATAAAGGGAGAACAAATAAACTTAAAAACAATGAATTAAAATAAGATAAAAAATAATTACAAATGAAACAATGAAAAACCAAATTAAATAAATGAATTAAAATGGAAAAATAAAAACAGAAAAAATATCTAAAATGGAAAGCGAATAAGAAATAAAACAGAAAAATAAGAATGAGCCCGAAAAATAGATATTTAAAAATCAAAAGATAAATGAAAAAATAAAAATAGAAAAAAGTTAAGAAAACGGTTAATAAAAACAAAAGAGAAATCCACCACTAATATGACATTACAAACTGTTATTATTGTTTGAAAAAAAGTGAGCGAATTTGAAAATGGCAAAACAAATATGTAACTCGCAAAACAAAACTGTAACTCGCCAAACAAAATTCTCGCCAAACAAAATTATCATAAAAAGACTGACCAACTCTTAACGTTGGGGGCGTGTGAAGCGCTGTGCCAGTGCAGTTGCGCTTGTTCGCCGAACTTGGCTCGACAACCGTGCTGACGGTGGAATATTCCCGTTGGCAAAATTCAACGTAATTTTCCATTTCCTTGGCAACAACGACGACATATCTATAGCCTTTGACTTGGCGTCCCAAACCTGCGAATGATGGAGTGGTAGGATCGGGGGGACACAATGGCACACAACAAGGTACGAGGACACGTTTGTTTACTTTAAATTCCTGTTCGTAGGCCTATGCCTAGGCGGCATGTACAACAATGATAATGGCTCTGGCATGGCAAACTGGTATACTGTACGTGCACACACAAAGGGGGGGTGTTCCTTCTCAACGTGAACTTGAGTACCTGTATGTATGATGACTTAAGTTAAAAGACTTCATGTCTTGACATGTGTGAAAAGTCGCCATGATTATGTAATCGAAAAATATAATGAAATTGAAATTGCCCATTTGTATGGTAATTTTCATTGGTTTGTGGTTTATAGATATTCATGTTCCCCTTTTGACTTCGTCACTTATGGAATCATACTTTCCGATTTACATGACTTGGGCACGTTTTGAAAGCTTTTGCTTTTCTGTACCTAAATTACATTTGGGGAGCATGGAGAGGAAGTCTTTCAGGCGAACGTTGATTGTACATGCATGTCCTAATGATGTCCACATTTTCCATCTTGTTAACTTGCTAGATGCTGATGAAGCAGTGTGCCTTACAGTGAGACAATAGTGGTTTCGTGAATGAAATGCCATCGGTAGTGTGATTGAGCAGTCTACAAAAAGCCATATAATAAAGAACTGCTGTCATGTGGGGTTGAATCCCACAGATTCCAAAGTTGAACAGCCTGCAATCATCCTGTGGGG